AGGTGGGATTTGCTGACGGCGGGCCGTCTCCCGCCCAGCTCCCGGTCAACAGACGGGGGAGTGGGAGCTCAGGAGGCGTCTGCGGATGGTACGGAGCGGGGTCCGTTGGTGGTGTGAGTCAGGAACAGGCTGATGGACTGGGTCGGAGCCAGGCTCGCTCAACTCCACCGACAAACGGGCATTCAAAACCCCAGCGCAGTGCCGTGCTTCTGCCAGCAGGGGACTGTGACGCAGTTAAACCGAACACGCAGAGGGCTGCTGTTGGCCCACCTGTGACAGGACAGATCAGCTGGTCTCAGATCAGGTGGTCTGTGGACCTCATCAGTCTGAGGCCGAGGCTTTGCACACTCCAGACGATGGTTTGCTGACGGTGCCGATCCCTGTCCTGGAGTGAGACAGCCGTCAGCTGACAGAACTGCTGCCGGAAATACCATTGGCGAGATTTGTAATGCTAGAAGCCTAACGAATGTGCTGGGTCCTCCGTTCCACACGCACGAGCTACGTTATGCTTGTGTGTAGTCATATTTGAAGTATTCGACTATTTTCATCCGAGATGCCTTACAGAGTGAGGCAGCGAGATGATTCATGACTCCGTCAAACTGGATTCAATTCTACTGTTTGGCTGGAATGTGAACCCCGGCGTATGCAACCTTTCATCGACTTTTCCTCATTCTCGATGCAGTTTTTCGAGCAGTTTCTGCGAAAAATGCGTACGACCGGCAAGCGCCGCCTGATCACATTTTCCCAGACGATTATCATCATGAATTAACGTGCCCGTGGCTCCAGATATCTCATCAATGCGGACCTGACGACGGGACTGGGGCGCTGGTCGGTGCTGACGGCGTGGGCTCGAGCAGACTCACCCCGACGCCTCTGCCAGCACGGCCCGGGCGGGGTCCCGCGCCGGCAGCTCGCGCACGTGCCGTTTTACTGCGCGCCGCCATATGCCAGACCATCGTGTGGAAAGAACAGTGTTCGGTTGCACACCGGTGGTTATGTGTGTGACGCACCGATAGTGCTGGCCTTCGGGGAGAAACAAGGAGCACAAAGGCTGCCGGTCCGGCCGGCCTCCAGCACAAGCCAGGCAAACGGCCTTCGGTATATAGAGTACTCACCATCTGACTGTACTTGGCTGTAAATTCTTCCAGTGGACAGTGCTTCGCTACGCTATCGTAGCCAATTAACTATGTAAGAGTTGTTTCAAAGTGGAAGAAAGGTATAACAAACGGCGTATATGATGCTGGCAGATTATGGATACGACATGCGCTGTCTGCTCAATCAGCGTTTCCAATACATGTTTTACATTGGTTACTTCCAGCTTTCCTGGGCGAGCAGGTCGGAATGATAGGCTATTTTGTGTGACTCAAGGCTGAACGGAGGTTTTCAAAGTGAAGGAGATGATGGTCCTTAGACCCCTGAGCAGAGAACGGCCATTTATAATCATGAGATACACATGCTGTTAACCTCTGTAGGCTGCCGTGGATTTTCTGTATCAAACTTCATCCCTCGTGATCCATCCCACGCTAATAATCCTGCCCAAACGGGCACGGTCCAGGACCCATAACCACCAAACTCGGCGATTCCAATCACCACGCGTAACTGTTCCGTCCGGATTCCGCCGGCTGGTTGAGCTGTGTCGGCTGCCCGGGTCTATACCAGTCGCTGAACCCGGCTCCAGTGAGGCGCCGCGGCCTGGCCGACGGTGATCGCGCCGGCCGATCGCCGCGTGGCGTCGACAGAGAGCGGGTCCAGAGCCGCCCCCCGCCCTCATCGGCGCGCGCGGGCGGGTCACGAGCGCGGCGGCTCGTGAGCGGTGAGCGGCTGCTCAGCTGATGCTCCTCGGCGCGGTGACCGATGGGCGGTGTCGCGCGGGATCGCGGCGCGTCCGCCGTGTTCGCGCCGAAGTCGTGACGGCGTGACACAGGACACCGCGAGAAAACTGGGACGGCCCCAGCCGCCAGGATGACTGGCCGGCGTGAAAAGCGGCCGTAAAAACCGCTCGGTGGCCGCCGGCGCGCCGGGTAGTTTATGGACTCATCGGACGCGGTCGGCGGTGCTCTCACGGCCGAGCCGGCGTGGTCACGCACTCTGCCGACCCAGCGACACCCGTCCCGCCTCAGATGCCCCCTGCGGACTCGCTTGCACGGCTCCCTTGGTGACCGCGAATCCTCGTGCGGTCGACCTCTTTGAACTTGGATCCGCGGCTGCTCGTGTGACCCGCGGTACCCCCTGCGAACCGGCGGACCCGCGATCGCCGCCTCGCTGCAACGGCGCCGGGTCCTGTCAGGCCGAGCGGCGGAAGCGTCCATCAGCGCGTCTCACAGCGGCCCGGCCAACCCGCCGCGGTCAGGGTCAGGGGTCAGGGGTCAACCGCGCCGCCGCCGCCGCCGCCGCCGCCGCGGCGTGACGTCATCGGCCGGACGCAGGTGTGTGGGGCGGAGGCGCGCCGCGCCCGCGCGCGCGCCAGTGGCGGCGGCGGCGCGCGCCGGTGAGCGGTGCAGCGGCGGCGGCGCGGGTGGTGCGGGCGGCGCTGCGGGAGACTTGCTTTGCGTCGGGCGGCTCCGGCTCCAGCGGCAGCCATGCTGCAGGTGGACGGGCGCTCTGTGTGGCTCGAGAAGAACAGTGTTGTCGTGGCATGCTCGACACTCAGTCGGTCCCAGCGACGACCTGAAGCGGCGCCGGCGGTTCGCGCTCGCTCAAGGTGGTGGACCGGCGGCGGATGGACGGCACGACGCGGCGCCAGAGCGATGCCGAGAAGATGCAGACTGCTGGACGTCAAGCTGGAGCGGCAGCGGCCGGCGGTGCCTAACCGGGACGGGAAAGGAGGCGGCGGGGGGCGACGCCGCCAGCCCGCCCCTGCAGCGGTCCGATAGCACGTCCGTGGCGGGAAGGGCGGACGACGAGAGCGGCAGGCGGCAGGCGCGGCGACATGACGGCTCGCCCTCTTCGTCGGCCCTCCGACGTGTCAACACTGTCCACCCGAAGGACTCGATGCGCCGGATGAAGCTGATCCTTGACGCGGAGTCGCCGAAGCGGTCGATGAACGTGGCGAGCAAGCGTGTCCCGAGGCCAGCAGCGCACCCCTCGCCGGGCGACTCGCCCAGACCCGCGCTTCTGAAGTCGTCATCGGCGTCCACGATGCTTCAGCGGAGTGTTGCGGGGGCGCACGCTGAGCGTAACCCACTGCGACTGGAGGGGCCGGGGAAGCAGCAACAGCAGCAGCGTGGGGACCCTTCCCCAGTCCGAGCTCCCGCCGGCGCGACCGACGTCTCCCTCCCGACCGCCGGCGAGGCCCACCCTGCGGCCAAAGCCAGTAGGCTGGTGAAGCGCCTCTCGCTGCGGAAGAAACTGTCTCTCGGTGCCTCGCCGTTGCGGGACAAGTCGCGGCAGCGCGGCCGCGCCCCCGACCGCCCCGTCGGCGCCGACGAGGTGGTGCGCCTCGGCACGCCCACCGACGCCCGCCCGGAGCGGCCGCCGGAGGTGAGTCAGACGGCGCCGGGTCGCGGAGGAGCGAGCCGGCCGATCGATCACGGTTACCAGGCAGTTACCGGCCGGTTACCGGCAGGTTACGCTGCCACCGGCGGCCGCCGCGCCGCGCCGAGCTGACCCGAGAATGGCCGACCGGCGGGTGACTGTCGGTCACCAGACATGACGCGTGTGGGTGTCACAAGGCTGAGGTGCGCACCGCACGGGCGTCACGCAGCTGTTGGCTTTTGGCTGTCGCTCGACACGCGGCGTATGGGTGCTATTCACCGCGCGGTGAATGGATTGCCCCCAGACCTGCCAGAGCGGCTTCCGAGCTGTTTAGAGGAGATGAGGGTTGACACTGGGCGCACGGGTCACGAGCCGTGCCTTTGACCAAGAACAGCAGCGAAAAGACGCGCCGGGTGAGCAGTCGGAAGGCACGGGACAGGTGGTCCTGGTGTCAATGGCTGCGACGCTTCCGTGCACCTCGCGCCGCGGCTGCCGCTCGTCAGGAGCTGCCGGGGTGGGCCACAAAGAGCGCGGCCGACGAGGACGCTCCGGGGCGAGGGGGGAAGGGACAGCACCTGCGGAACGGCCGCGGGACGGCGTCCTCACGCGGCTGTCGTGGTGGGCATCGAGGGGGGAAGGGACAGCACCTGCGGAACGGCCGCGGGACGGCGTCCTCACGCGGCTGTCGTGGTGGGCATCGAGGGCCGGGCTGTTGTGGTCGGTGACCTGTGTGTGCAACAGACGGGCCGCCGTAGGCTGCGGCACTCGGGAATAGCGCTCTGCACCTAGGCTCCTGTGCGACGGCACAATGGCGTTCGAGGAGGCCGAGATGGGTGGTAGTTGGTGTCTGGGAAAAAATGTTGATAGAAGGCTGAATTACTGTGATTAGGCTGAAGAAATTGGACACACATAAAAACGCTAATATTATTATTCGCAGAACGAACATAAGATCCCCTCAGTAAACAGCTGCTGTAGTGAAAGTGCTAATACGTCAAGGAAAGAAGTTAAGGAAGGCCTATAGGGCCGTTTCAAAGGGCTTACCAAAAGACCGGTTTCGACTTGCGTATATAAGGTGGGAGCATACTCAGCTCAATAACGCCGTACCCTAGGCCATGTCTCTTTTCACGTTGTAATAAGTCTATCGATTTTTATGCCACAAGTTTGATTGGCCGCACGGACTCATCAGGACGGTAGTGCCACCTTTTGTCACTTGCACAATGACATTTTTGTAACCCATTATGTCGCGGTAGTCCTTTTAAGCCCGCACTGATTGCACAAATCCCATGTATTCTGTTCAATCTCATGACGCCTGAAGCCTTCCGCATAATGGCAGTTGTACGAATGTATAGCTGCCACCTCATGGCCAGGAAATCGGAAGTAATCGTCACGCTATTCAACTGAACAATCAACACCAAGCATTGCTCCAACGCAACGGACCACCCGTGATCCCGAGGCAAAGATCTGACCCCTGGCAGCCTTTGCCCGGCTGCCCCCACACCTGCCGACCGTGCGGTCTTCTGTAGAGGGACATTGACCGCCAGCTGGACATGCCTGCCTTGCGGACACCGCGAGGTATCGGTTCCTGTTCCGTCGTGGCCGTGACCGTCTCGCGGTGAGAAATACCGGCATTGCCGTCAGTCACGGCTGCAGCGGCCCGACCCCGACCCAGATCACCGCCGGCAGCGGCTGTGATCTGCTGTGGCCGCTCCGCTGCGGTTTCACGCTCAACGATTTGTCGATGTTTTGGCCACCGCATGGCGTGCCCCGTGGGGTCTCCATGCTCGGTGACTTAAGGCGCCATGCTTTGAAACTTTGCGCCACTGTTCTTTGACTGGCCCAAGATGTCCGCCGAGCGGTTTTGTTTTGTTGGCGAGTGACAGGAGCCAGGCGCCGCCGCCCTGCCCTCACTGGACCCATGGTTCGGGGGCGGGTTAACAGACCACTGCGGTGGCGTGAACCTGTAAACGACACCTTCCCAGAGGGTCACGCCGGCGATAAACAGGCGTGCCCCGGCCGGCGCGTGGGAGCTCCACCGCCCGGGCGGGCCCAGCCGTGCCCACCGTTTCGGCTTGGCTCGGCTCGGCTTGGGACGCCTGCGGACGGTTCTCGGAAAGGGTTAATGTGCCGTCTCTCCCCCGTCTGGTAGCCTCCCCTGCCAGGCCGTTATCGCCTGTGCGAGGCCCAGAAATGCTGCCTGTTCAGCCTCACGGCGGCGTGCACCCGTCTGACCAGCGGCGGTCAACCGCCACCGGGTTGAAACTTCTGCTAGCTACAAGCCAACGTCATGTACGCGCCATGAGTTGTTGCCGCTTATTTGCACAGAACATCCTCTTTGATCCCTCGATGGCAGACGCTCTGCAGCGCATACCGGTCCGGACCCCAGCTGGAGGTTGTCGATCTGTTACACCTCGGGACACCATCGCCATTTGTGCGTTGTTTACCGAGACCGTCATCATCTTCTGTCCGCCCCCACCGGGCCGTGACAGAAACCGAGCGTTCCGGCCGCGCCGCCGCCGTCCGCAGTCCAACGGCCGTTTGTAATCGGCCGTTTTATAAGAGGGCTACCGACGCTCATGTCGGCGCCGACAGGAAGCGGTCTCGGGTAAAACGACGCCCATTCTCTCGCGGACAATGGCGGCCCCCTGCAAAACAATCAGCCGTTACGAGCGAGAGCCCGACCCCGGAGGTGCTCGACTTCCAGCCGGGTCAGGGGAGGCTCGCTAGCAGCAGTTCTAGCCGGGTCGGGGGAGGATCGCTGGCAGGACTTCCAGCCTGGTCAGGGGGAGGCTCACTGGCGGGACTTCCAGCCGGGTCGGGGGAGGCTCGCTGGCAGGACTTCTAGCCGGGTCAGGGAGAGGCTCGCTGGCAGTACTTCCGGCCGGGTCAGGGGAGGCTCGCTGGCAGTACTTCCAGCCGGGTCAGGAGAGGCTCGCTGGCAGGACTTGCAGCCGGGTCGGGGAAGGATCGCTGGCAGGACTTTCAGCCGGGTCAGGGGGAGGGTCGCTGGCAGGACTTCCAGCCGGGTCAGGGAGAGGCTCGCTGGCAGTACTTCCGGCCGGGTCAGGGGAGGCTCGCTGGCAGTACTTCCGGCCGGGTCAGGAGAGGCTCGCTGGCAGGACTTGCAGCCGGGTCGGGGAAGGATCGCTGGCAGGACTTTCAGCCGGGTCAGGGGGAGGGTCGCTGGCAGGACTTCCAGCCGGGTCAGGGGGAGGCTCGCTGGCAGGACTTCCAGCCGGGTCAGCGGGGTGGAGTTCAGGGAGGCTCGCTGGCTGCTGCCGCCGCTCGGCAGCCACGGAGGCGGGTGGACGGGGCTTGGAAACCGCACCGTACTGCGCAGCGAGGAAAGGAGACCTCCGAACCGGGCTTGCGTCGATATCTTTTTGCGGATGAATGACGTGGCGTCGTTGGACTTTTTCCTCATGGTGCGAACTTCCCCTATCATAATCACAGACCGGGATGGTCTATGATTTTATTTCTAGACGGCAAGTGTGGAAATGTTGCTTTGCTCTCACGATCTAGGCACTTTGCTGCCGTCATGAGCATGACAAGGCACGCTGCATAAATCAACGCGCTCAGAACGCTTATATGTTTTATAGGGCCGCGGCCACTCGCTCTGCTTGTCGACTGTTTATGGATCTAGTGTTGAGACACCCACGCAGCTCGTTTCGGCTCCAAACACGTCCTCCTACTTGATGGAGCACTGATGGGCTGCGACTTGACGTCATGTTTTATCAGCACGCCGGTCGTATGCTCTTTGGCCATTGGAAATGAACGGTGACTTGGCGCACTGTGGGCACTGTCAGCACCGGCCATTGTTCAACACCAATGGTCATTACGGCGTTTTTTCGGTCCCATTCGACCCAAGCTGCACACGACTTCCTGTGTTTTGTGCTCAAATGCGGACACCCGACGTTTCCCTCCCACACTGCGGGACATCGCGTTTCTGAACGCGAAGTGAACTTGACCTTTTGCACCAAGCTCAATGTCACTGACTCACAACGCACGCAGCGACTGGCGCGGCCGCATGTTGACCCGGACGGATAAGGAACCACAGCGGAACAGCTCCGTGCGCTCGGTGTTCCCGAGTATAGGCCCGTTTTCGGCGGATCGGTCCGGCCAGGCCCGCGCGATTTGCGCTAGAGCGTGGGAGCCGGGCCGACGGACGGCGGCGTTCTCACGCGCGCCGCACCCCGCCGCGCCGGTGAATAATCAGCTGACCGGTGTGACCCGAGCGCGATAAAGAATGCGCGTCGCACACAGGCTGTACGACGGAGAGCGGGCGATTGATCCGGCGGAAGGTGCACGCTCGGTGCTCCTGGTTTCTGACTGATTCGGTTTCTACGCTTCTGGTGTGTCTAAGATCCCCGCCTTTGGCTGTGACTGAATGACAGAAAACACTATAGAGGTAACGCCTTGTTAGAATTAGCTTTGGTTTTCTGGCAGCTGGTGCGTTGCCGCTTCGCAAAAGGAAAGCTAATGCCACGGCGACCGGTACAGTTTCTTGCCGGGATGGTCGGCAGGATCCCGTGTCATTCCTCCGCTCCTCTCGGGTTGGCGATGCGACAATACAAAAAGTGATTTTTAATTGAGGCACGCGAATCGCCGATCAGTCGTTCGTTCACGAGAGCCGAAAACGCCGTCCGTCTGAACCGGCCGCATCCCCTCGGCGGATCCATTTCCTGTACGTCCCGCGGCCCCCGGCCGGCGGCACCGGCCCGGCTGGCTGACCTGTAACGGTGCGAGCCTACGCCGGCCGGGCGGCCGGGCCCGCCGCCGTCGCCTGTGCACCGTCTGCACCGTGCAGAGGGCGACCCCGGCTCGGCCGCGGCTGCAGTGCGCGGTCGGCTCACGCGCGCGCGTGGCGCTGCAGCGGGCGGTTACAGGGCGCGGCGCGCTCCTCAACGGCGGCGGCTGCGGCTGCGGTTCCGGCTGCGGTCCCGGCTGCGTTCCCGGCTTCGGTCCCGGGTGCGGCATCCCGGCTGCGGTCCCAGCTCCGATCCCGGGGGCCGCGGTCCCGGCCGTGGTCCCGGCCGCGGTCCCGGCTTCGGTCCCGGGCGCGGTGACCGCCGCGTCGGTCGAGCGGCGCCGTCAGACGTCAGCCGTCCCGCCGCCGGCCGGGACGGCTGAGTCGCGCGTGTGGGCAAACCTCGGTGTCAGCACCGGTACCGCAGTCACGCCGTCGTCGTCAGGGCGCCTTTGTCGGACCGAACCGGCATTTACCACGGCGAGCGGAGCGGCCCGTGTGCCCACGTCCGCTCGTGATAGGCTTATCTCAGGATTACGGCGCGACTGCTCTCGCCGGCCCGCGAGCGCTGTCGTGTTGACAAATGCTTTTGCAGCGTGAAATGTACGGCATCTGTGGATCGAAGGCCGACGTCGATACGGGTGTGGTGCAAGTTTTTATTTCAACATGCGAGATGCTGGGCTCTGGAGGAGACCCCGACGTCGGTGTCAATGATTTTGAAATGGCTGCAGCATGTTGGCTGTCTCTATACCACTATCGGACTCGCATACTGAACGCAACGCTTACGTCATTGCGGCATGTCCTCCCTGCCATCCGCGAATCAGTGCCGGTCGTGCTAAGCGGTATGTTGGAATGGATGTTGCACCTTTTGTTTCGATGTTCGCATGCATGTAGCGCACTAGCGGGCTTCGCGCGCTCGTCGTGTGTGTAGCACAGTACATGTGCTGCATGTCCGGAGAGATGTGAGAGATGTGCCCGCACACGGCCAGCCTGCATCGGTCTGCTATGTGCTGAAACGTATCAAACCACGTGAACGGATGTGGCGCATGGATGAGGCCCGGCTTCATACTTCTGGGAGGTACTGTGCAGATCTGAAGCCGGTGGAGGTGCCGTGGTCACGGCCGGCGTCAGCGGGACGGTCCCAGCGGACAGACGCGGGGCAGGGTGTGTGGATCCGCGCCGCTGGTGGGCGCACGTGTGTGCACGCTGGCGTCTCCTCCCTCCTGCATATCACTGTCACCTCAGTGCAGCTCCTTTGTGGTGGTAAGAGGATTGGACACAGCTGTGCCACTTAACCTGCCTCAAATAACAGTTCGTGTACCTGGGACGACGCAGATTTTGAGGTCTTGCGTCGCTCACACAAACAACCCACCGGCACTGCTACATCCATGCCAGAGTTAGAGTATGGGCTGAAAGACGATGAGGTGCATGTTTGTTTGATTACAATTTTTTATATGATAATATGCATGCATATATATATATATATATATATATATATATATATATATATATATGATATACATGTATACAGCTGTCTATAGCACCGAAGAATTTCATGTATATTTAACTAACTAATAACCTAGAATTTGTATCATCAGTTTCATCTTGAGAGTTTGCGACTTAATCTCTATTTGTCATGGCGCTGCCGTGAAAATGCTGGCATTCTTGTCTGAATAGCCTAAAAATGTTCTCGTGCTCGTTCTACCGCACGAGACAGCGAACGCGTCACGCCGCCCATTATGCGGCATGCCTCGTGACAGTGTACACCGGCGGGGGATTGTACGATCAGCGAACCAGCATTCGCGCCTGTCTTCACGATACATTCACCCCCTGATCACCAGCGTTACACCACAAGCAGTTCACCTTCAGCCGTCGCCTGGCGGCCATATGATGCATTCAACCATAACGCGCTGCATTCCTGTGGACTGATTGTTGCCATCGGGTGATGTGCTGGTTGCTGCGAGTACCTACCCGTACCGTTCAAACATATGGGCTCCTGGTCCGTGGGGTCCCGAGTTCGTCCCCTCAACCCGCTGAACTTCCTGTACTCTCGCTTTGACCGGCCCCAGGCCAGCTGTTCAGGCTCGCCGTGACCCCATCCGGCCGCTGACTCGGCCACCCGTGCGCACAGCTCGGCGACTCGCTGTTCCTGGACCTGCCGCGCGTCCGACTGGACGGCGGCAGCAAGGCGTTCCGCAAGCAGTGGGGCTACGACATGGCGCCGCCGCCCACCCTGCTGGAGGAGGAGGAGGACGAGGACGAGCTGGACGAGGACGACATCAGCGAGACTCAGTCGTTGCGAGAGGACTTCTTCAGCCGACAGTCAGCACTAGGTCAGTCCTGTGTTGGTGCTGGTGCTGGGTTCGACTTGAGCTTAGTCCAGCCGGTGCTGGCTAGTCCCTGCTGGTGCCGGTGATACTCCTGTGTCACCAGAGCTCTAGCAGTCCCGTCGGCGTTGTCACCGCCGTTATCGTCTGGTCAAGGTTATCAGCTCTGCTCGCTGTCCCGTGGATCAGTGCCGCGGGCGCACTGACACGGCCTTGAATATATCTCGTGAATCACCTTTGCGAACTTAAGGTCACGGCAGCTGAGTGACCAACTGCAATCTTAGTAGCACGGCATGCTAGGTTACGTTGCGGGTAAATCGGTTGATATCACATTCAACTTTCGGTAAGATAGTCATGGGGTCCACCCCGAGGCCAGTGGAGCGACGGCCAGCTCACTGCGACCAATGGTGGGAAAAGCTTTTACGCTTATTACTGTAGTGGCGGCATTTGTTGGTGAACGTTCTAACCCGGCTAGGATCACCTCAGTGTAGCACAGCTGTTGGCTAAGTGGCGGCCACCTGAACAGCTCCAAATCCTTCGCGTCGTGTATCTGTTCCATGAATGTGACACCATAAAAGCGTTGGTGGCCGAATCCCGTTGGTACGGAAGTATCAGTTGCAATTGTGTCTGAAGAGGATGCGCGCCATTTTGCAGCATTCCCCGCCCCCCCCCCAAAAAAAAAAATTAATGGTTTACTAACAAGCCACAGGGGTTTGTTGTCTGCCAACGGTTTGAACGTGTTTGGAGATACTAGCGCCACCTGATGTTCAGTGGCATGCTGCGCCACCTATTCGGGGACGTTATGTCGGCTGCCTTACCCTACCATCTGGTGGTTGAGTTGTGCTCTGGTGTTTGTAGATATTGCCGCTAGGTTTGAAGAGTTCGAACAGAATCAGGTCCTGAGTGATGGCCTAACTTTTCTATTGTGCAGGGATGTAGCCGCATCCTAACATCTAAAAAATCGGCATTCTGTCTGTAGCGCTACACAGAAGGAATAGATCTACAATGACATTTGCATGCCGAACATTTATTTGATTAGTTTCGCCTCTGTACCAACAACACACCGTTGTGAGCTACGCTTCCCAAACATGATGGAAGATGGTCGTTACGGTAAGCATTCTTATGTAGCTTAAGCAAATCGCAGATACTGGTTCCATATCCTTCTTCCCTTGGCATACGCAGAAATGTCCTCTCTCGAGTGCCAAAATAATGTGGCCGATCAACACAGCCCTGTGTGTATGACTCCGCTCCAGCGTGCCATTCGTGGACGCCAAGCGAGGCAGGAAGATAAGGTGATTTTTATAGGAAGATAAGGTGACCATTCTCGCCTTTTCCTCCAGCCTTGTATTACAAGATGGGAATGCTTGGATGGCTCACGAGGCAAAGCTGCCAACGTGGTGACGAAGTTCCGTAAATGATAGACTAATGCTATGTATAATGTCGGCCAAAGAGAACACGCTGGAAACCAAACAGTCGAAAACTACTGGGCAAAGAGGGCTTGGACACAAATTGGATCGGTTGCCCAGGCTGTTTGAATCTGATAATCGTTCATGTTTAGATGACAAGGCTGTTGACGGCGGCGCCAGGGCGTAGTCTTTGATATTTTCTTCAATTTTGTCCTTCCATGCTGACTGAAAGGTAATACATGCATTTTATATGTCAGTCTTGCATGGTGGCTAAGATTGATACACAATAAGCATAAGTTCAATGGTGGCCCGGAGCGAAGGACATCGAGGACTTGAAATATATACCCAATGAAATCAATTAGCTCGTGCACGGTCAGTAGCAAATGCCTTGTCCCTAATTAAGATGTTGCGTCATTGACCGAAGCCCCACCCTCCGCACCACTCCTCTGCCTCTCACACATAGATTAGTCATCACAGCCCACGATCCGTTGTTATTTTGGTGAGCAAGTATCTGCGTTCTTACTCCAAACAAACGTAACCAGCGGTAGTTGGGTGTCATTACAACCGATCGTCCGATCGTAGAAGACGCCGCCTCGTGACGTAACGTCCCGTTCAGGGGCCCGCCTCGATCGTGGCGAAGCGTCACGCTCAGGGGCCGCCTCGACGGTGACGAGGTGTCCTGCTCAGGGGCCTACCTCGATCGTGACGAGGTGTCACGCTCAGGGGCCGCCTCGACGGTGACGAGGTGTCCTGCTCAGGGGCCTACCTCGATCGTAACGAGGTGTCCTGCTCAGGGGCCCACCTCGATCGTGACGAGGTGTCCTGCTCAGGGGCCTACCTCGATCGTGACGAGGTGTCACGCTCAGGGGCCGCCTCGACGGTGACGAGGTGTCCTGCTCAGGGGCCCACCTCGATCGTGACGAGGTGTCCTGCTCAGGGGCCCACCTCGATCGTGACGAGGTGTCCTGCTCAGGGGCCTACCTCGATCGTGACGAGGTGTCACGCTCAGGGGCCGCCTCGACGGTGACGAGGTGTCCTGCTCAGGGGCCCACCTCGATCGTGACGAGGTGTCACGCTCAGGGGCCCGCCGAGCATAAGTTCTGCATCCGGTGTGCCACTCCCTTGGTCCCTTGGTACAGATGGGGATCAAGGTCTAATGCGTCTTTATGCGGAGCTTTCACGGCAGATATACTCTCAGTCAGACCGAGGTGGTCTAAACAAGGACCTGGCGTGCCTAGGAGTTAGATAACACATTGTGTTTACGACTAAGCTGTGATCCCATGAACAAAATCGGTGAAATATGTGCGACATTGCACTATGACATTTCGCTACATTGCAACATAACCTTGCATCGCTGAAGGTGAATTAGTATATTTTCTCATCGTGCGGACACTGGTTTGGTTGGGTACACTGGCTGTTTCTTAGCCTAGCATCGTTTCGAGGTCGTCTGAGATTTACAACGTTAAGACGATTTTGGTCTACAAGCGCCCATAGGCCCATGCAAAAGCTCTGAAACATTGGAAGAGGGTCGGGATCAAATCCCTCAAAATATGCGGAATGCTTCACCCATAGTTCATTTACTACCATCAATATCATGTATAATTGTTTCGAAATATCAATGCCGACTGACCAAGTTAAACTGACGCTGCAGGTGAGGTGTGTCGGGGGCCCTCCACAGCCGCCAGTCGGGTCTGGCGCCCGGGGGGGGGGGGAGGGGGGGCAGCTCTGTTGTCCAGTCCGCGTCCGGTCCCCGCCTTCCTCTCTCGTCCTGACGCCGGATGTCCCTCTGTGGTCCGCGTACTCCGGCCCGTAGCGCTCAGAACTGCCGTCCGGCCGGCCCGTTCCGGTGGAACGGGAGGCCCGTTAGCGTCTGCCGCGCCGTCCATATGGTGTGGTGCTGTCGCGGCGGCGGCGGCCGCGCCCGGCCCGGCCCGGCCCGGCCCGTCCCGGCTCGGCGTGCCACGAGGCGGGCCGGCTCCCACGGCAGGCTTGCCGCCGCCGGTCGGAAGCCGCCCGGAAGCGACGAGCGCTCCTCGTCGCGGATTTGGGCCAGCGCTGATCAGGGGATAAGCCCGGTAAGGCGGTCAGCGCCGCTCGCGGACGAGTAGTCGGGCCGCGCTGTCGGCGGCGGGTCCAGCAGGAACGGGCGACTCCGCTCAGCACGAGCCCAATACTTGTTGGGCCAGGCTGACGCCGTCATTGTCTCGCCTCTGCATGGAGAGAAGTGGCTTTAAAGTGGACCAAATAAAGCGAACTAGTCCAAGAGGCCAGAAACTAACAGGTCCAATGCACATATCCTCAGCTAGCTGGTTTCCGGCCGGCTCTCGTGGGTTTTTGTGCGGACATATTCCGGCGAACTCCATAACGGTGCAGTGAATGGGTTTGAACACCGGGGAGTTCCGCTGTGGCGCACCAGTCGTAATGGCCGTGTATGGTGACGGCCCGGATACTTGCGGCGTGAGCATTACGGCCCTGGAACTCAGTTGGTCGTGGTGACAGCCGATCCAGCATCACAGACGACGGGACGCTCAATGACACTGGGAGCAATCTATAAGCAACTCTTGTGACTAACGCGCTAGTGACCTGCTTTTTGAACAGCCTTTGGATGAATAAGGCATCAGAGTGTACGATCTTTCTGATATCTGAGATCGATTGTTGGCTGGGAACGGCGCAGGAATACAAAGCAGCGAGACGGCCCACTAATAACACAGAAACTGGGCGCAGCCAGCGCAGGGACGTCCAGCGACCTCCACCGCAGCCGCGCTCTCCAGACAAGCACGCCAATCCACTGCCCGATGTTTGATAACTTCAGCCGCGTCATTCAGTACCGACATGGAACCAGGAGACGTCGTCTGCGGCTGATTCGTGGTCGTCATCTGTACGGTGCCAAAGTGGTCTCTGCCTCTCCATGGCATTGCCGTTGATCTGTTTGCCTGGCGCACTGACTGTGACTGACCTGCCGGGCACGGAACCCCGACTGAGCCTGTCTGACTGAAGCATCGACGAGCCATGAGCCGTGCCAAGCTGACTGAAACCTTCCAGGCGTCTCCCAAACTCATGGCAAGGTTCTGAAGCGCTGGAAAATAGATTAGGACAGGTTTGGTCCCCATAAGTGTGCCTCGCAGCCCGGGAGGGATAGAGACAAGCAAATGGGACAGATACTGGGCGATTGCACAACGAACATCGATGTCTGGCGACTGGTTCCTGAGTTTGGTTTCTACACACTGTGCGGCAGTGTGCCGGTTCGGTTGAGTGGACGAGATGTGGGCCAACCGACCCTGGGCGGTGCCTGGGACCGCGGCTGGTTGTGGGCTCGAACTGCGGAAACCGCGATACAGATGCACGAGCCGTCACGCCAATTAGCCGGCACTGTGCCAGCACCGATTGTGGGGCAACGGCCGACCGAAAGCGTGCCGCCGGGGAAAAAGCTTGTGCGTGCCGCGCGATATGCGGCGTGGAGGCGTTTGCAGCCACTGTGCGCATGCGCCGTGACCGGTCCGCGGCGCCCGCCACCGTCTCACCACCTGCCGCACGGCGCACACACCAATAAACGCCAGCCCATTTACCCGAACGCCGGAATGGATTGGGCCGTCTGAGCGTGTTGGGGCGTATGGGCGTCCGTTAGAGCCGCGCGTTTTTCTGGTGCGGCGCACGTGCCTTACCGCGGGCGGCGTCTGCTGGACCGCCCGACGCACGCAATCGCCGCCGTCTCGCCGGAAACACAGGCAGCACCGCGCCGCAGCAGATCCGAGGGCAGACGCGTCCTTCTGTCGGCCTCCTGGGGAGAGGGGGGGGGGGGGGTAGGAGACTGCTGGGCTTTCGCCGGCAGCGACGGAGTCCCGCGGAGCGCTGGCGTGCGGCGACGGAGATCCCCGCGGTGCGAAACCCGGAGCGCCGAGGAAAAGGGTTTGTCGGCGCAAAACCCGTGAAATTCGTCGTCGTCCGCCTCGCTCCAGAAGATGGAAAGCTGAATATGGCGCTGCGAAGCCGGGTGAAAAACGGCGGAATTATCTTTCACCGCATTGTACCCGTGCCGCTGTCTCTCTACGGCCGGGGTGATGCTCGTGCTGGAGCGTCTCGCCTGCTTGGCAGCTCCAGCCGCTAGAGACACGTCCCCACACTGGATGGATAAGCAGCGGGAGATGCAATGGGCACGTGCATAGACTAATCACGACCGGCTTAACGAATTCCGGGGAGTAAGTCCGCTCCTGCCCTGTATCTCGAAGTCGTGTTCCGTTGCATCGATTAATCTCTGTTTATTGATATGCAGGCGGTGACAATGGCCGCTTAGTGAGAGCAAGGTCATGTCGATGAATATTTTAGTCATGTGACATGACCTTGAGTGCTTCATAACACGGGCAACCGTGAGTTAGGGTGGTGGTACCCCTCACTTGGCTGGCAAATCTATGCCGGCTCGTGCGCTCTTATGGTTTGCACTTACGCGGCGCATGCACTTCGTGTGCCCTTACCCGAAGTGCAAGTCATGTGTCCTTGCTGTTGGTAGGAGGCATGCATAATGCATGCGCAGCCGCACACTGCAGCTGTAAGGGCGCCACATTTGACCACACTAACCAGCTCTCAAGCCGACCTTGACTTGGAAGCTGGTTAAGTCAGGCTGTCGGTAGAGCATGCGGCACAAACCGCAACGCTTCCTTGTGTTGTAACTCTGACCATGTTGGGCGTGGTGGAGGGGACGTTTCACGCTCCCTGTCGTCCTTCACTCGGGCGCTGAACACCGGCATGATGTGGGGACATGCGATGGCAGCATATGCTGTGATGACATGAGACAGGTCCTGTCCGACGGCTGCTGGTAGTGGTGACAGGCATCTGTTGGGGAGTATACACTACCCTCGTGTCCCGCGTCAGCGGACCGAGCAAACCGCGTGGACCAGCGGTCCGAAGGATGCCAGTCTCTCGTGTCGCTGAGACCGTTGCGGGTGGTCGCGGCCGCAGGAGCGGCGAGAAAGGCGGAAGGCAGATGGAGGGGCGCCCGGATCGCTGCCGAAGTGTCCGGCCATAACCGTCCGCTTCCCGCCCTCGTCCACGATGGCCCATGACATTGAAACAGTCCTGTCTCCCGAAGCATCAGCGGCACAGCGCTGATAACGAGGGCGTAGAATGATCAGGCGTCTCTGCACCGCGCCTCAGTTTCCAGGGGACGGACGCAGCTGCTGGAGCGTCAGGGGTAGGACTTGCTGCCAGAAGGAAATCATTCCAAATGCGATACAAACCGTCCAAACAGGCAGAAGCGCCACCGACCAGCTGCCGCGAAAAATGGTCACGGGATGCCAGAAAAAGTACCCTCGTCCGTCAGCATACGGAATCACAGCTGTCTGAGGGCGGGTCGCAAGCTGCCAGAGACGGACTTCCCAGCTGGGAAGGATAGCCTCTCAGCTGAATCACAGCGATAAGCACGAACTGGCCGCCGTTGGCGCTTCTGAGGACGCCGCCGGATGTTGACGGTGGTCGGTGGCTGCCAGGGCCCGGTCAAAGGCCCCGCCCGCGGCGGCGGCGGGCGTGCCACCGGCGCTGCGTGGCGCGTTGTCCTCTCACGGAGCGGCGCTTTCGCGCTCGCCAACAACAGCAGACTATTTCAGCTCGTGCGTCACCGCTGAGTTCACACCCCGGCCCGGCGGGGGTCCGTCAGCGGCACCTCCGGCGGCGCTGGCGGCCGCGCTCGCCCAGCCTCCAGCCGCGCCCGCCCAGCCTCCAGTAGCGCTCGCCCAGCCTCCAGTCGCTACCGCCCAGCCTCCAGTGGCGCCCGGTACGGTTCCGCCTCGCTACACCCTCTGCCTGTCCGCGCGGCCCCGTTCGCAGCCTCGCCACAGTGGCCGGGGAGTTACTGGCCGACGACTTGAGCGCTAACGAGGCACAATTGGCACAGTGTGCCCAGCCAGGACCTGACCGACCGCGAGTCTGGCAGAGCGGGCCGGCTAAGGGCCAGGGAGCGGACCGGCGCCCGCGGCACGCGCCGGCTGTGAGGCTGTCCTGCGGGGCAATGGACAAGTAGTGTCGCTGATGAAAGGAGCTGCAACGGATTTAGTCCTTGCCCTCGGTGTTTGCGGATGGCAAGACCGGGTAGACTGTTACACAGAAGCGGCCGGGCCCGGTCCCAGTCGCCTGAGGCGCCGGATAGTCCGTCACACGGAAGCGGCCGGGCCCGGTCCCAGCCGCCTGAGGCGCCGGATAGTCCGTCACACGGAAGCGGCCGGGCCCGGTCCCAGCCGCCAGGGGCGAGGTCGGTGACCCCGGCTGTGTTGCCTGCACTCGTGGGCTGCGCTCGCGGTGAAAGGTAAACCGAGAGCTTCCTGTCCGGGTCACTGAGCCGGCAAGCGAATCGCGATCCGCGCATCTGGCGCGGCTCAGTCCGGTTCCCATGCGGTGCAAAGGTCGGTCGAACTAAATCGATTGCCCGGAACGGCGATTTCTCCTCTCATGCAGCGCCGACTGGCGAATTCCGCTTTCTTACAACCGATCCAGCCATGCACTTGCGTAACGGCTCAACGTGCATTCGGGACACCGTCCGATGTGGCGACCCCCGTTTCAGCTGGGATCTTTCACCCCATCAGGAAAACAACCCCCGACCCGCGTGCAGGAGCGGCCCTTTTCTCTCGCGATTCACAGCCATACTCGCTGGGCCCA